ATTTGTACATAAATGTGTGTCTAACCACATCTAACCACACTGGAATGGTCACTGTTATGCCTTATGCTTTGATATGGTTGTTTTTGAGTAATGGCATCTTTTTATACAGAGCTCTATTGGCCACCTTCACTGTCAGCTGCTAATCGCTGTATTTCCTCTCTCTCTCAAGTCTTATTCTAGAGAATTCTGGGTGAATGTGTTTTCTAAACAGTGTAGGTGGTTTGATTTACACTTCCTGGTAATTGAACCAATTGAGACATCCAAACATCTGGATATTGTTTTGTATTCTTTTTCCATTTCAGCATTTGTTTAACTTGGGGATTTTATTTTCACCATTTGTTCTCATAACTGTGGGAATTTAATCCAGTAAATATTTTAATGATTCACAGACAAATAGTTAAAAAAACAAACAAAAAAAAGCATTTATTATTTTATTTACTGGCAGTGGCAAATTTAAAATAATTAATTTTGATTTGCAATGCCTAAACTGTCCTCAATCAGACATGCACATCACATACAGTACAGCATTTGTTTAACTTGGGGATTTTATTTTCACCATTTGTTCCCTTAACTGTGGGAATTTAATCCAGTAAATATTTTAACGATTCACAGACAAATACTTCTGTAAACATCATTTAAAAAAACAAACAAAAAAAAGCATTTATTCTTTTATTTACTGGCAGTGGCAAATTTAAAATAATTAATTTTGATTTGCAATGCCTAAACTGTCCTCAATCAGACATGCACATCACATACAGTACAGATGAACTGGAGATTTCAATGAACAGTGTGATTTTCTGTAAAATTTGCATTAGAATGGTATAAAGTACAGTAATTGTGTTTGTACATGTGTGTGTGTGTGTGTGTGTGTGTGTTTGTGGAGGGCTTTTTAGTATGATTAGTCACATTTTAAAATAGCACTGAGGTCAGGTGAACATCTGCAGAGACTGGAATATCACACACACACACACACACACACACACACACACACACACACACACACACAGTTTCCCACAATGAAACAGTGTTTGTGGAGGGCTTTTTAGTATGATTAGTCACATTTTAAAATAGCACTGAGGTCAGGTGAACATCTGCAGAGACTGGAATATCACACACACACACACACACACACACACACACACACACAGTTTCCTACAATGAATCACATCCACAATCATTAGACTGCTGGAACCTGAAAAATAAAATGCACATATGTGTGAAAAACTAGAAAATGTGGAAAACTTGCACATGCACAGTCTTGCAGACTCTGCTCCAGATGAAATATATGTGTACCGTGTGCAAAACGTAGTAGTAAATGGACAACTAAAGTATTCGATCAGCTTAACACCAACCAACACCTACAGCTAATGTCAAACATCTTAACTTAAAAATTAAAATTTGCTAAAAACTTACTGACCCTCAGGTCATCCAAGATGAGTTTGTTTCTTCATCATATTTGGAGAAATGTAGCATTGCATCAGTGTCTCAGCAATTGATCCTCTGCAGTGAATGGGTGCCGTCAGAATGAGAGTCCAAACATCTGATAAAAACGTATATAAAAACAATAATCCCCACCACTCCAGTCCATGTTAATTGATGGAATGGAGTGGTGTGGATTATTTGTGGATTGTTGTGATGTTTTCATCAGCTATTTGGACTTTCTGATGGCACCCATTCACTGCAGAATGAACATAATAGACATCTTGAATGGCCTGGGGGTGAGTATGTTTTCAGCAAATTTTAATTTGGGTGAACTATTCCTTTAAGACTAATGCTATCAACATCTTCAACACCCAGCAGCAGTCACTGAAGGAGTCCTGTTAGCCATCTAAAACATATTACACATAAAGGAGTGTGAACAGTGCATGTGCATATCAGCCTGCTGTTTATAAATAACCGCTTAATTCAATTGTTTCAATTTCCTCAGTTCAGACGGGTTTTGCTCTAGTGCTCCGCGTGCTGAATGAGAGCCTGTAATGTGTTAGTGCACGTTTGTCATTGCGGCGACAGGTTGTCAGGGAGTGAGTGATGGTAAGATGGCAGTCGAGGCTCGATGCTGTATGTGTGATTGCCGTCAGTAATTACACACCCTCTCGTCTGATTTATTAACTCTAAATGTCCTCTACAGGCCCTCTAATGAATACTCAAACCCTGTCACACTCATTTGTCTTTTATCTTGCCACCATCCCTCTCTTGTTCTCTCTCTGTCTCCTCCGTCACCGTACCGTGTTGCACTCATTGTCATATTCTTCAGTTCAGGTACGGCACAGAGGAGCAATGCAGGAATTAAAGGGATAGTTCACCTACAAATGAACATTCTGTCATTATTTATCACCCTCATCCCATTCAAAATGGTGTATGACTTTCTTTCTTGACCATTTTTAGGTGAATATTATGGCCACACATTTTCATTTAACAAAACTGACTGAGAATTGGGGCTGTCAAGCTCCATCAATCACAAAGTTCTGCAAACCACCGGCTCCTTGTACATTTCTTTGTTAACTACACTTACCGTTCAACAGTTTGGAATAATTATGACTCTTTAATGTTTTTGAAAGAAGTCTCACCAAGGCTGCATTTATTTGATCAAAACACAGACAAAAAATTCTATGTGAATCTCTGTTAAACTGTAATGTATTTCTGTGATCAAAGCTGAATTTTCAGCATCATTCCTCCAGTCTTCAGTGTCACATGATCTTCAGAAATCATTCGAATATGCTGATTTGCTGCTCAAGAAACATTTCTGATTATCATCAATGTTGAAAACCAATATTGGTTGTGCTGCCCAATATTTTTGTGTAAATCGTGATACATTTTATTTTTCAGGATTCACAGATGAATAGAAAATTCAAAAGAGCTAAACAATAATTTGAAAGCTTTAGCAGTAGTCTTAAAATCAATGCTGAAAAAAAAATTGCACTTGGCTTAAGCTAACGAAACCAACACAAAACAAATAAAAATGTAACTTTTTTGTACACTATAAATTGTGCTCTGTGAAGTATGTACACGTGTGTGCAGGATACTTTCATCCTTTCTAACATTAATCCCACAGAATCATGCTACAATTGTCTTATTTTCTCATCAGTTAACTTCATTTCATCATTCTCTGTGCGCTGTACTTCCCAATTTTTCTATTTTTGTTATCATTTCGCCTCTCATCTATTAATGCGCATGTCACTTTTCATTCTGAGCCCCTGCACCCCGGTGTCATCTGTTGACTGCATTAATTGTGTGTCTGTAGGTGTTTGTGTAATTTCCTGCGGTCGGGCGGCACTGCTCGGCACTGGCCTCAGATCATCATCTAATAAGGGCTGATGGGAGCATTCTGCCCACACACAACTGCACGCTCATTCAACTCCACTGCATTTGACTGTTCAGCCAGAGCTAGCCTGCACACACGCGAGTGGGAGAAGAGCAGCAGAGGGACGGAGTGAGTGAAGAGAGAGGCTTTTCTGCAGAGGAATTTCAAGACTGCAGCCACTCGTGACAGAGCAGGGGACCATTTCATACCATTCAAAATAAAATAAAAAAGTTTTATGAATTAGGCAAGATTTTATAATTTAACAATATTTCTTCACCAAGGCTTGATGCTTACTTTTTTTTCTCAAGGAGCATATGTGCTCCTAAGTGGAAAAATTCAGGAGTGCATTGAAAAAAACTTTAGGGGCGCATTGAAAATTTATCAAATAATGTGTTTTTCCTTAATAAATTGATACAAGGAGACATTTACAAGCAAAATGATTTATGCATTAGATACACAATGAACACTAGGTTTTTAAATATTTCTTCTTCTTCTTCCAGGACTCATTTTGAAATGTATATGTTTAACTATTGCTGGCTGCTCATTTAAATATTATCCACAAGATAAAGTAAACATTGACATAATTATTCAATAGTAGATCATAAGCAATTGACATAAATCTGCAATTGTGAACTGCTCTGAAACCGTGAACGAGTGCTGCATTCTGACTTTGAACATGCAGCAATAATAATTATTTAATAAAATCGTAGCCTTTTAAACTTTAATAATCACATTCGGCTTGTATCATGATCCCTGCTTTTCCATCTCCAAATTTAAAGACCTCTTAAAATTATAATAAAATATGTTGTTATACAATTTAAGATATTTAAGACTTTTTAAGGACCTACAGGGTCTTTTTTTACTTTTTGCACACGTGCTCCTAAATATATTTTACAGTTTGCAAACATTTATTTTTAGTTGCAAATGTGAGTGAAACACTTGCACTGTCGAGTCCTGTTAAGTGGACAGCGGTTTCTATAGTGCATTTGTTTAGACTATGTTTATGATAGTTTTGTTATGCTTTTGCATTCTTTTTTGAACCTTGAAGTCACCATTGATTGTAACTGCACGGAAAAGAGCAGCTAGTACAATTCTTAAAACAATTCTACATTGTTTGTTAAGTTGCAGAGAACATGTTTTGTTATGCTTTTGCATTCTTTTTTTAACCTTGAAGACTCTAGTCACCATTGATTGTAACTGCACGGAAAAGAGCAGCTAGTACAATTCTTAAAACAATTCTACATTGTTTGTTAAGTTGCAGAGAACATGTTAATGTTAAAAGGCACCCGTTCACACCATGGATGATAACTATAATGCTAACTATAACTATAAAGGAATGACTGCTGGAATCACTTTCAGAACATTTTTTTTTCCAGCTGATGAACCATAAAAGCATTGACAGCCAATCAGAATCCATCCAGCTTTAAAGTGGCAGAGCATTCTTAGAATAATGCCAATTTAGTTATTGTTATCTTTCTTGGTGTGAAGGGATCTTAAAAGCAGGCACACACCAGTTTTAGAAGCTTGCAAATGTTTTTCTTTTCTTGTCGGAAATGGTTGATGCTTGTATTTTAACCCTAAATGGGTTAAAATAACTTGTGGCTATAAGGAAGGGCTAGAGCTTTACAAAACCACAAGATGCATTCTGATTGGCTGTGAATAATGATGCTGCTAGCAGTTGTTGTTTGATGTGTTTTACCTGCTGCAGGTCCAGAGTCACAGTGACGTAATGGTAGTCCATCCCGTTCATGATGCTCGGGCTCTGCCACCATCTGTTAGTGCCGTCGATGGCATACTCGATGGGATGCCGCTCTACACATATGAAAAACACACTCATGAGAGACCACAGCGCATTCATCTCTGCTCATGGGCTTTATAGGGCAGAGAACACCATGTGACAACCTGAGTCAGAAAATCTAATCTATTGAAATCAAAAAGTTTACTGAATCTTATTATAATTAAATCTAATCAAATACGTTTTTTTTCTTTTCTTTTGAGTATCATATTTGATGCATCATGCTTTTATGGCTCACATAATCTGATATAGTGAGAATATGGAGGAAAAACTGCTCAATTTTATTCAGAGACTCAAACTGAGAAAAAATATGCAATTTTGGTGCAGATGCTGATATTTATATGATGAAATTCTGATGCTTGTAAAGTAAATCAATGAGATCTTTATAACAGTACAGCAGATACTGACATAAATTTACAGAAATATCAATCACCACTCTATATCTCCAATAATATGTCTTAGTAAGATATTTAAATGATCAAAACATATCGTGCAATACAATCCAAAAGCCTGCTGATCAGATTTTTCTAGAAAATGATTGATGGAGAATCAAGTAAAGCCAAGCTGCTTCAGTCCAGTAAGTGCTCATCTGGAAATATTATTAACAATATCAATGTTATTCTTATGTTTACTTCACAAAAATTAGTAAAGATGTGTGTGCGTGTGTGTGTGAGAGAGAGAGTGTGTGTGTGTGTGTCTGTGTGTG